CGTTTAGAGGGAGAAGTAAGCTAAAAGATACTTCTTTTGAGAGTGTTACAAAAAGCAACTGGCACCGATTTGGTGTCATGGTCCATACACATTGATGTATGTATATTTCGATATTTATTTGAGAAAAACCAGAGGCATTCTCTTTTTTTCTAAATTCATTGCCGAGGTTTTGGAGATCGGGACTTTGTATCGACAGACACTTAAAACCAAAAACTGACTCGGGTGCCAAAAAAATGATGATCGGGAGATCCCAAGAATTTAAGGCTTGGACCTGTTTCCAAATGGAACAGCCTGATCATAATCTGCATTCTGTGAGCCGTCATGGTAATCATAGCAAATCATGATCAATTGAGTAGTAATTAATGTGCTACAAAACAAACATTGGTAAGGGCCAAGAGCCCAAGATCTCTGACTGTGAAGCAGACATGAGAACCGTGTGCCTGGAACATGTCAAACTTCAACGCTACAAATGAATAGGTGCTACTTTGTGCCTCAAAGTCTGCAAATGCGCAAGTTGAAGAGCTAAAGTGCATTAGCCCTGCTAATATAATTGGTGGGTTCATGGTGCGCATACAGACAATTGTGCTAATCTGGAGCCCATCTGATTGACCCATTATGGAGCTCAAAACACTCCACATACTCAATCTGATGTCATGTCTTTCATTCATGAATATTCATAACCACAAAAGTTTGTGTTTAGGTGCGCAGGTGTCAGTCTGGGGTACTCACCACTATAGCAGTAGGAGAATGCATCAGTGCCTTCAGCTCATTTAGATCACTCTCCGCCTAAATTAGGAAGGTTAAGCAAATTCATTTATTTATTTCAAATGACAAATCATATACTATATAGTTGTACTCATGGGAATATGGCAGAGCAGTAAATAATTTGGTTCAACCTTGTCCCACTCTCCTTCCATGACATGATTGCGAAACTTTGTGGCAGAGGGATGCTCCAGCCTGCACCCAGATTCTTGCATGAGGAGGTCCACCGTCTGACTGTTAACAATAGACGTCACAGAGGACAAAATCAATTCACAACATTGACCTGTTAGTACACCCCCTCTCATGACATGTGACTTTTTGTGTCGTGTGTGTGTGGCTACTGCTACACACACACATACACACATACATATACACACACACGTTTTTATTTAAGTCTCACTGTATGTCCGTATGGAAGAAGGAAGGTCGAATAGTTAATTCTGAATTTTACTTTTTTTTTCCAACACAATTCGTATTGTGACATCTTTTTTTTAATCATACAATTTGGCAAATACTTCCATCCATCCATTGTCTAATCCACTTATCCTCACAAGAGTCGCGGGTGTGCTGGAGCCTATCCCAGCAGTCTTCCGGCAGTAGGCGGGGTATGCCCTGAACTGGTTGCCAGCCAATCGCAGGGCACACGTAGACAAACAACCGTCCATGCTCACACTCACACCTAGGGACAATTTAGAGTGCTCCATTAGCCTGCCATGCATGTTTTTGGAATGTGGGAGGAACCTGGAGTACTCGGAGAAAACCTCCGCAGGCACAGGCAGAACATGCAAACTCCACACAGGAAGGCCCTGCACTTCTACACTGTGACACAGACGTGCTACCCTGCCGCCTACAAATATTTCATCTATTAAAAAAAAAGAAAAAAAAAAAGAACTAATACAAAAATTAATAAAAAAACAAACTAAAACAAAAGCATTGTCAAAATATAAAAGCTTAAAAAAACATCTGTTCTAAAAACTAATTGAAGTAAAAAAAAAAGTCAAAATGAAAAACTTTTACAATCCTACTACAGCGGTAGAGAAGGGAGCTAAAATCATTCAATTCCTTTACCCAGTTTTCTCAAGCAGTCTGCGTTGGTCAAATGACATGTCAGTGTTTGTTTAAGAGTGGTGCAATCAGATTTTGCTTGAGGTTTTGCCACCTGACAGTACATGACATTACGGTGAAAAGATCTATCATAAAATCTAACCCAAATTCCAATACAAGGGAAGCTCAACTAAGTTCCAAGTTATTTCAGAAAGACAGAGCGATCTAGTAGTATTTCATAGCTATTTTTGGTATTAAAATGCAATGTATGACTGTCTGTCAAAAAAGGCTCTAGAAGAAACAAACATGTGCCATTCATCTTTTCGATGACGTCCTGTATGCTGATGGAGTTTACCGCACAGAGTGGGAGTCCACTTTATAGAAATGTATATTGTAGCAACATCTATTTTTATTGTCATCTTCATTACCATATTTGGCATGAGAGTAATCCAAAAGTAATTAAACTTATTCAAGTTACATTACTTTATGAAAGTAATTGGATTGTGTTGCTCACTAAAATGTTTTAACAGCTAACAGGTAATTGTATGATAATACATTTTAAAAGTAACCCTCCCAACCCTGATGATCTTTATAAATTCAAATAGTGAAGAGAGAACTATTGAAATTGGTTCTCTTTGGCTATCATGTATATGGAATGGTGCAAATAAACATACATGTTGTAACACACAAAAACAACACTTATTTGAAGTTACGTTGTTGATATTCCTGAACGTCCTCTGTATGAATGTGTATTATGAGGTGAGATCGATGCTGCAAAACCCTATCTGGGTTTCCTGATCTGACCTGCACTATTTCTTCCAATGGTCTCGTTATTTTATTAGATTGCTTTGTTGTCTATATGGAAATGATCAAGTTTTGTTAAAATGCGTAATACTAACTGAGATGATGATACTGCACAATGTGTCTGTGCTCTAGAAGTGAAGGTACTCAGTCACTCATGCAAGCAGTCATTGTGGTGGGCCAACAACAGTGTGACACAACAGGCTTTAGGTTCAACAGCGTGGTCCATGTCCCGACTTCATGTGACACGAAGCTATTCATTGAAAACAAGGTTGCAAATACGTATTCCGATGGCGCACTTGTTATATGTTCGGAATTCACGTTTGACGGCGCTGTCATCCCATAACTGACGTTAGTAGCGCATTGTCGTCATAGAAGACAGAACTGACAGAATTTTCTCCCCAAAATAGTTGAAAAATGTGACATCTGCCACCACGCGCGCGTCCCGTATTGATGCACATTGTAAAGTCCACTCCAGTTCACTTACTTGAGACCCAAATCGTGTAAATGTTGCCCAATGAGCCTGATGACGTCTTCCTCAGACTGAGACAAGCGCTTCTTTTTCTTGACGCCACAGTTGATGTCGCCCGAGCTGTTGTTGATGTTGTTGGACGCGGGCTGGGCTGACACTCCGTTGTTGTTACTCACTGGGTTTCCATTGTTGGTGGCTGACACAAGTCCATTGGAGTGAGCTGCCCCAGCGGCGGACGAATCGCCGTTCTGGGTACCGTTTCGGCTGGACACTTCAGGGTCTCGGTCCGGCACTGCCCCGTTAGCCTGCATGTTAGCACACTTTGTATGGCGAGTACAAAAAAAAAAAGGACGACAGACGCAGTGGGACAACGCGGGGGCAACGAAACCACCGGCAAAGCCGCCGATAGGCCCACTGACCCAGATGCAGCCCCCAACTGTCTCGTTCCCTCGCGGCCGAATCTGCTGTTCGATACGCGGCGGTTGCTGCGACAAAAAAAGACTTAACACTTCGACTCGGAGGACGAAGAGACGAAGGCGACAATTATTCCTACCGCCACATTTTGCGAGATTTCGTAATATTTGGCGCTGTCATATAGCGCTTCGGTCGCGTTGAAGTTACTGATTATTACGGCTTGTTATTGTTGCTTCCAGACAGCTGCAGCCCTGTTATGGACTTACGCAGTGACGTCAGCGGAAATTCCTTCATGTCTTTTTGTACGTGCGGCGTCACCGCTAGGGGGCGCACACGTGCCTGATCCCTCCATGTCCATTATACGCGCCACCACCAGTTACAGCATCACCCCGGATGCAAGTGCAACCAGAGGACAGTTCAAGGAGAGCCAGTACCATAGAAAAAGAGTCGATGTGGGACAGTTAGAACAAATAACTAACTAATCCTTATTTCGGGTTAAGTTTCAAACAATCACTACTATAACAATTGGGCCCATTTGTTACCCAGTTTCATGGTTCATGTACACATTATTCCAGTCTGAAAGGCTTTACACGAGCCTGCCGATAAGCTGTAAAATTTATTTCAAAATTCTGCTACTGGTCTATAAAGCCATTAAATGGTTTGGGTTCTGAATACATTAAAGAAATGCTGATTTAACATAAACCCAGTAGGCCTCTGAGATCTGCAGACTTGGGTCAATTAGTGGAGCCTGGAGCTCAAAGTAAACATGGTTAAGCAGCACTTAGCTGTAATGCTGCATGCAAATAGAAATCCAAATTAAAACGTTCATTTCTTTACTTTTAAACGATTTACCTGTATTTTTTTTTTACATTTCTGTTAGTGTTTAAATGCCATCAGTGTACACCCTTTAAGTAATTTTGGTAAGATACTTTTGTTTTCTCTGCTTTACTTCTTAATGTCATTCACTGTTGTGTTCATAAATGCTTTAAGGTGTTGTCTTTGCTTGTGTGAAGCACACTGAATTGCATTTGCATTGTGTATGAAATGTGCTACACAAATAAAGCTGCCTTGCCTTTTGTCCTCGCAGATAAGAATTCAGCGCACTATGTAAAATGACTGTGTTGTACTGCCATGTTTTCCACTATTGCCTTCCAACACTGTATAACATTTTAGCAGAGTAATTGGAAAAGCTTTGCTTACTAGTAAGGCAACTACATGTTACCAGTGGGGCAAAATTGCACTTAAACTCCACGCCACCAGTACTACTAGTGACAAAATGCTACTAGTTTACATGTAGCACTTCACTAGGACTGTTGTGCTATCAGCATGCAGATGTCAACTAGCCCAGTTTTACATTATAGTGACATGTAGTCCTTACTATAGTGAGGACAAAGAATATAGGCCTACCAGTAGACGGACCTTAAGGAAGAGATCAGGGAGTTGTTTGAATATAATATGTTGCTGATTTCAGTAGAAAATGGTTATAAAAATGACAGGCTCACATAAAAAAAAAGAAAAAAATCAACTCACTTTATTATGACAACTGAAATGAACACGGCAACATCGACTTATAAGTATTTAAAATGAAAAAGCATTCTCGGCATCAAATGTTCATAAGTGATACAGTAGACCTCTACAATATAAATCAAGTGGGAAACAGCGGTGGGCTCATTGTCGTCAAGGCGAGAGTCAATGAAAGAAAATTGGGGCATTGAGGGGGACTAGAACCCCTTGGAGAAATCTATGCAGTCTTTTGGTGCTATTCGCTGGATTTGTAGAAGTGCTTTAGCAACGTAATATATGGAATTAACACATTATTTAAAGTGCTATCTTGTTCCTTCGATGCTTTGAAAATACAAACAAGGAAACACTCTCAAATCCATGTTTTGGCTTTAACAACTAATCATTTCATGAGAATTGGCACTTTCACATGAGTAAAAAAAATGTCCCAGGTGTTTGCAATTCATTCATCTCACCCATAAATACTGTTTTGACTCTTATGTACAACAGCATCTTTTTTTTTTTTAAATGGAGCACAATTTTACATTATATTATAAAAATATGACTTAAAGGGGAAGGTATGACTTATCCTTTTCTTAAAAGAGCACGTCAAGGTTTTCAGAGGAAACTATTGCACTTTGATCCCGTCCTACAGCAGAGGTTTCCTAAACACACTGAATCAAAACCTACGTAATGTTTACTAATTCTCCTGTGTGTCCCGGCTGCCACCTTGTACATCTAAAATGGCAACTTTATGCAGAAGGATGCTGTCATCTCTGCCAACACCTGAAAACAATGCATGCGCTGCTGACTCGACTGTTCTATTTAAAGGTGCCGAAATGATCACATTTTCCAACAAATTTGACCAGAAATGGACAAACTGACATGAAATGGTTCTGCAACAATTCCATGATGTTAAAATTGGTCGAAGTAACAGGACGTAGAACATTTGCTTCCTTTAAAGAAGCAATACAACTGGACTGGTGGGTTGAATATCCTACGTAACGGTACTGATTTTGCATTAAATCGTCCCAAAAAGACTATTTCATGCAAAAAATATATATTTGTAGTACTGTACTTTGCATGAAACCCACTTGTTTACTTGAGTGGTTGTCAAACCTTGGGTGGTCCCATTTTAGTGTGAAATTCCTAATCACAAAATAAAACTTGGAAATGTCATTATGACAGAACATCTCAATAAATTAAACATGACAGAAACTACACACATTCTTTTAAAGAGGACACGGAGAGGAACATTTCAACAAAAATGGCATCGTGTGTACAATTCATGTTTTTTGTATACAATTTTGACCTGAGAAGTAACTAAAGCTGTCAAATTTATGTCGGGAATCTAAAGCAGATGAATGGCACAAACAAATTTAAAGACTCAAGTAAAGTGCAGGTACCTCAAAATTGTACCCTTATTAGTATAATTCCGTGACCTTCCATCACTGGTTTGTTTGCCAGTTGTTGAAGCTTTCAAGTAGTGTAGTTATTTTCATCACTGGTCAAAACCAAAACGAAACAGAGGCTAGCCAACTATTTAGAATAGATGAGATCCCATTTCCACCTGTTATTTACTTGGGTGCAAGCACAACATCAGCAGTCACCCCCGCCCCATATAAAAAAAACGGGGGAAAACACATTCACTTGACTTATTTTGTCCCTCTGAACGAAATTCTTGTCCATTTCCTTGCCCTGTTGTTAAAGGAAAGACATTTTACGACTGCGTGGCTCTTATTTCTTACATCCCCAAAATGACAGGGATGTTGGTCCCATACAGAAAAAAAAAGTTTGATGATCTAAAACCAGAGGTGATTAATTGGCAGACTTCAGGCCTTTCTATGTGGAGCCAAATTTTGATGAATACTTTGATTAATTTAACCAGGTCGACTTTGGGGGGGATTTAGGTTGTCTTATTTAATCCTGCGCAGCTTTCTGGTATTTTTTATGATCATCGAGTATACTGTATACACAGCGGAAATGTTGTGTGCACGATATCTCCTCCAATGTAACAACTCTGCCAATCAAATGGCTTAATCAGAGTGGCTTTGCGAGTGCTGCAAGTGTTTTTTCAGTGAGGTAGGAAAGGGGTGAGGATAACTGGGTAAACAGATAATAGGACACTTCAAAACAAGTTTTGTTAAGATTATTTCATATTGTTTATGTATTATTGTTGAAAAAGTATTTCAAGAAGAACAAATGCAGCAACTCCGATTATACTCACATGCAAAACTTTGTCTATGTTTCTTTCATATTTACTGTATTTGGTTCATTTTCTAGCCTGTTTTAAGCATTTTCGGGTATCCTGTCCTAAGCAATATTGAATATGCATTTGAGAAAAGTTCTTGTCCTTCTAGTTCAGTGTGAAAAATCATTGAATGCAATTTCCTGAACTGGACCTTTTCAAATCGAGGACCCCTGATATGAACAAAAAGAGGTCAAACAAATAGCCAAAGGCCTCACATATCAGCAATAAGTTGAACTTGCAAAGAAAGAACGAAAGAAAAAAAAACTTAAGTCATTGTAATAATAATTAATAATAATAATATAGTTTGATTTTTGGCTAAAAGTTTGGTTAGACAGTCTAGTCTACATCTGATATTGCTGGGCCGACAGTAGTTTCAGAAGCTCACTGTGTATAATAATATTATCATCAAATGGCTAGAACAATAAATACAAAAAAAAAACAACGCTGTCACAATAAACTGCCGTTCTTCTTTAAAAGCACAGTCAATAGAAAGGAATAGTGGACTTGAGATAGTGGAATCCTTCATCTAAAATTTGGTGATCACATCTGTGATAGGCACTTCTATCTACCAACAACGAGTAAAACAAACAGTATCTGCTCTGTGGCTCCAATCTTGTCTCTGTCCAAAAACATGCACAGTTTTACCTATTATTCATGTTGATGGCCCAGGCCAGCAGTTTAAGTGTGCTTTCGAGATCTCATGAACAGACAGGAGAGGACAGGACAGGACAGTACGGACTCAACTAACCTATTGCCCGGCCAAGAGCACGGGGAACCAATACATTGACTGAGGAAATCCAGCAATGCAGATACATACACACACACACGCACACACACACCTATGAACGCCCCCGCTCCACATGACAGCTCGCTTCCGGTCAAATTTTTGGGGATTGCAAATATAGATAGTTGGATGTTGAAGTCACAGTGTGATTCCAGTCTGCGGTTTGTTTTTCAAAAACAGACTTTTCTCCCATTCTTTTCTGTCTGCAAATTCCATCACCATGACCTTAATTATGTAATCCTTTGAATGAAGTGTCACATGTTTATACTACTGGCACATAATGATGTATTATGTTACACTTTCACAAAGAAGTAAAGCCAGAACTCCAACCGGGCGGTATCCCCCTCACAAACGATTCAACGATGGCACTGAATTACAAGTACATTCTCTAGTGGCATTAAAAAAGGGAATTGCTTCCCATAGAGGTGAAGACATCGTCAGTAAAGAGCGGCTTGTTGACACAGACGGCTGTTTAAGCATGTCCGCGGTAATTAATTGGAGCTGTCAACCTTGTCTTCAGCAGAGCCTGCAAAAAGATGTGGCTACGCAGAGATGTGGAGGCAGTGTCTAAAGATTATGAGGGCATTTCATGGTTTCAAGGCAAATGACTTTGCATTCAAAAGTTCTTTGCACAACTTTAGCATACATGTGCTGTGATTCTTTTATGTTTGAGCTTAGCTGTCCACAACTTGATGTGGAAGAGTGACAGAGGAGCCATTCAGAAAGGAACCTTGTTTGTCCCTTCCCTTGAGAAAATAAGTGAGCAGCTCCCCCTTTCCCTTCACAAAGATAGGCCCCCTCCTCACAAAGCGGAAGCCATACTCTTTGAGAATGTTGTAGCAATCCTCCACCACCTGGGGGAACACACACACAACAGCATACAATTATCCAGATTTAGCTACAGCGCTACATACTCTTAGCACACGCTAGTTTTCCCAAATATTATTGTTAAAACCATAACCTCCTAAAATTGATTATGTTAATATCTTCCATCATAAAGGTAACATGATTTTTTTCTTCTTCTTAAATATCTACCCCCCACTATTCAATACTTTTAGAAGCCAGCAATTGCAGCCTCAGCCCTTTTCACAATGATGTTACAAGCCTAGCACGCCTTTTTCTGAGTAGCTTCTTCCATTTGTCTTTGCGGATCTTGTCAATCTTCATCAGACTGGATGAGGAAGTTGAATCTCAGCCAATTTCAGATTCCTCCGGAAATGTTGCATCAAGTCTGATCTCTGGCTGGGACACTCGAGGACACTCACAGACTCCTCAAGTCAGTCCTTCATTATCTTGGCTGGAATATGAGGACAGTTGTTCCGGTGCAGGGTGAACCTTTGACCCCCGTCTGAGGTCCACAGCGCTCTGAAGTGTACATTGCTGTATCATTCTCGCTCTCACGTCCGACTTTCAGCTGATGGAAAAACATCCTCTGAGAATGATGTTGCCACCATCATGCTTAATTGCAGGTATGGTGTTGGCCAAGAGTTGAATGCTGTCATTCCTTTAGACATTAAACTTGGCATTCAAGTCAGATTTAATGATTGGCTGCTTCAGACCAGATGAAGCACATTTTGGCAAACTTCAATTATGTAATCATGTGTCACACCCCTTCTCCTGTGATCAATCACTGCACTTAAGAAGAGTCCTAACTGGTTCCAAAATTCTTCTATTTTGAAAAGATGGAAACCATCGTGTTTGCTGTGGTGTCATCTATGCCATAGATTTTATTTTTAACCTTTGCCCAGATCTGTGCTTTGAGCTATGTAATCTCTCACAATGTACAGACAATTCCTTCAAAGGAAAAGTGAACCTCAACATTTTCTTGACAAGAATATGTTTTATACAGCCCGACTAGACTAAATATGGCCTTTTGATTGATTTGATTTGGGGAATATGAGTTCAGCAGTAAAATCCACCTGTTTTTGTCTATCTCAGGGGGCGGCCATTTTGCCACTTGCTGTCAACTGAAAACGACATCACAGTTGCTCAGGGCTCAGGTCATGACCAATCCTGGCTCAGCTTCAGAACACGGGTGAGGGGTGTAAAAAGGATACATCTGAGGACAATTTTTGGTTTCACAGAAAAGTGCTACATTTACAGGGTTCGTTGAAACAATCCAAGTGCAGGGAATCATTTTTCGTTGTTTTCTTTGCTTTGATTCTATTCTTCTCATCTGCGAGTTGATTTAAATCTGACAGAGTGCTTAGAGTGCTGGTTAGGAAAATATTTCTTCAAATGTAGGTTACTCTATAGTTGCAAAGCTGTACACCCTAAAGCTAAATTCAGTAACATGTGAAAGAGTATGTGATCTTGACAATAAGGTACAAACTCTTACGATACCTGAATGTTTCCCATCACCCCCGTGGACTCCATACGACTAGCAACATTCACTGTGTTTCCCCAGATGTCGTAGTGAGGTTTGCGGGCACCAATCACACCTGCTAAAACTGCTCCTTTATTCAGACCTGATGGGAGACCATGGATAAAAACAAAGAAGCAAAAAAATATATATAATAGGTCTTGCAAATTACAAGTGACTGAGAATCATACTTTTACAGTATCGATGTATATTTTCCTTCCTTCCTTTTCATTTCCTTCCGGGTTTCATTCATCAGTACAGAACTGAAACCATCGTTGGTTCGTGTACCATATTTGTATTTGGGTCATCAGACAGCCTTTTTTTGTTTTGTTTTGTTTATTGTAGATTGTACTATTTAATTAGAGGACTCCAGAGATATGGTAATACATTCAAAGAATATATTTGGGTCAGACAACTCAACCGTACATTAACAATGCATGGGAAATTAGACTTCATAAATGGTCATTTGAAGGATACCATTCAAGTCCCGTATCACTCTGGAATTCCTGTAGAACCCCTAAAAGGGTGACGTATCAGATGGTTTATTTCACGCAAAAAGTTATTTTAACAAATCAATTTAGCAAATAGCAATTTCCATGAAGACTTTATGGGTTAAAAGCAAGAATTTGGTCAGTCAGGTCCATTCCAAATGAATACTTGCATTTTTTATATTTTTTTCATTCATTGAACTAATATCAGCACATCTGCCTCACAGTGTAGAGGTGCAGGGTTCAATGCCGGCTCTGGCCTTCCTGTGTGGAGTTTGCATGTTCTCCCTGTGGGTTTTGTGGGTCTCCCTGCGTGGGTTTTCTCCGGGTACTCCGGTTTCCTCCCACATCCCACAAACATGCATGGCAGGCTAATGGAACACTCAAAATTGTTCCTAGGTGTGAGTGTGAGCGCGGATGCTTGTTTGTCTATGTGTGCCCTGCGATTGGCTGGCAATCAGTTCTGGGTGTACCTACTGCCCGAAGACAGCTGGGAAAGGCTCCAGCACACCCGTGACCTTTGTGAGGATAAAGCGGATGATAAATTTATAAAATCTGCTGGAAGCCCACTGATAGATTTGTGATTACAAATCAGACAATGTTTCTATGCCAAATTAGTACTTTCATGTCATGCCAATGTTTCTCCTATAAGCTTTTATTTATATACTGTGTTATAATATTACAGTGAACCCCCTCTACTAGTGAGGGATCGGGACCGGGGCTGGCCTACGAATAGTGCATTGGAGGGAAAAAAGAAAATAAATAACCCAAATAAATAGTCCCCAAAACACAGATAATGATTCAATACACATTTTCCCTGGAAAACACAGGAAAACATGTAGGGGATCACCCGCTAAAACCATAATATACCACCACAAAATGAAAAATATTGAGAAAAAAAAAAAGGTAATTTGCGGATACCAAACTGCGAGCATTCTGGGGTCCGCTACATAATCAAATACAAACCACATATGAAAGCAGCTAAACTGTGAAGACGTACCGATTCGTAGCATGAAGTTGTTGAAGGATTGGTAGTTTATGTTCATGAGTGTGACCTTCATGGCTAGCGCAAAGTCCGCCAGGTCTGCCAGGTGCTGCCAGCGCTCTTTGTCGGACTGCTCCTCCTTCTACCGAACAATTAGTATGAATATATTTTTGTGGTAAGTTGATCAGTGACACAGAAAAACACAACAATGTCGAGTGACCATACTGACCTTGGTACAGGCGTACCCATTGTTGACATCAGAAGTAACCCCTGATGCGGCCATGTAGGTGCTTCCGATGGTCTTGATTTTTGTGATGTAGCGAAACTGAGGCTCATCCAGCAACTGTAATGGATTTTTTTTTGTGCCTTAATAAATTAAACTGGCATTTGGAAACTTCATTTTGTATTTACTTGGGTAGTCTCTGTGTGATATTAAAAATGGTTTGATGAACCGAAACCTTTGTATGTGATGAATATGCAAAGAACACAGAAATGAGGAAGGGGGCAATTTCACAGCACTGTACATCAAACACAGATACTTTACTTGTACCCAAATCACGATCAGGGTATACTTTGTACCCCAATTCAAATTAATTCTATGACCCGAAGCGAGAACTATTTATTTTCCTTTTTGAAGTTGCATGACCAGTAGAGAAAGCATTACCCACAATTTGTGAAGGAACTGGGTTCTTACAACTTGGCTTGCGATGGTTTGCAAATTTAAGGGACGTTCATGTGCAAAACAAAGAGATGAGGCGAGAATATGTGAAGGGTTCATTTCCAGTCCATATGCTCCAAATCCTCTAACAAGAAGGACCACTGGCATTGGTAGATAAACTGATATATTTACAACTAATAAATAATAATCCATCCATCCATTTTCCGATCCGCTTTATCCTCACAAGGGTCGCGGAGGGGTAGGTGTGGGGAGGGGGGACGGTGCTGGAGCCTATTCCAGCGGTCTTCGGGCAGTAGGCGGGGGACACCCTGACTCGGTTGCCAGCCAATCGCAGGGCACACAGAGACGAACAACCATTTGCGCTCCCATTCACACTCCACACAGGAAAGCCGGAGCCAGAAACGAACCCTGCACCTGCGCACTGTGAGGCCGATGTGCTAACCAGTCGGCCACCCTGTCGCCTGTCGAAATGTTGTTGTTGTTTATTCCTGACAGTGTCAAACAACTAATGCAGAAGAGAACTTTTGGTAAACCAACTTACACTGTCAAAGTCTGAGATGATCTCGTTGAGGAAGCGTAAGCATTCAATGCCTCCATTATTGATGCTCTCCTCTGTGTAGAAGTCGGAGAAGTTTGGGATGGACGCAAACATGACTCCGATCTCATCATACGACTGACTGTACAACTCCTAGAACACAGCAAGTTAACAGGAAATTGAGAATGTTGGTAATTATCCATATCTGTTGGACCCAATAAATCGTATACTGTACTAACAGAGTGAAGGACCATTTGGGGAAAAAAAAGAGCAGTAATCTGTTGATGTCACCTCATCTCTTTTCTTGGAGCCCAGGAAGTGTCGAGCAACATGTTCAGGAAGCATGTTGGTCACCAACGCTTCATTCCATCGTCTCATCTCATATACCTTCTCTTTTTGCTCATGAACCTCAAGCTTCCACAGGAATAGGGTGCGAGCAAGCTTCTCCACCTTCAGGGGAACAACAGCAACTCATCACGAGCTTTGTCAACATAGACCTTTCTAATGTCTAAAATGTCAACAGAGAGACCAAAATTCTCATGCTATTTGAAAAACTGCTGTTATATAATACTGTATGGCAGGGGTTCCCCAACCTTTTTTGACCAAAGATCTACTTTTCAATCAACAAACCTCCCGCGACCGACCTGTTACCGCACGAGCACGCATGGCGCGCTCATGCACACGTGCATACGTACGCACACACGCCGTGATGAGCAACAGACATAACGGCCTCTAACATGAACAAAACAAAAAAAATAAAGTAGATACAAGAGTTTCTGAGTTTGTGAAAAGGAACTCACTGCCTACTTTACTAGAGATCTGACGCAGAGGCAGAAACTATCGTACGTATGTGTATCATTTTAAAAAGCCTCTCATGGCGCTCCAGATTCCCATTCTTTGCCAGTGCCATCGGTGAATTGTACATGCAACAATTTGAATGGGGAATTA